TGGCAGCTGCCGGCGGACACATGGCCCTCGCCTCAGCCAGCTACGTACCGGCAGCAGACGCCAATGTGACAGGTTGCTGCAAACTGTCTGAACCAGTGGAGTCGGCAACGTTTATTGGCACTGTGAAGAGCTCGCTGTTCGAGGGTTGCAGATCACCGGCGGTGGCGGTGAGGCCGCTGCAACTGCTTTCGGTCAGTTCAACCGTCAGCCGAAAGGGGGTGTCGCCGTTATAGGCGACCGGCAGCAGGATCTCCTCGTCCAGCCGGAAATTCGGTGACTCGTATCGAATAAAGCAACCGCTCCGCGAAGTCAGGCCCTGCCACTGGATGCACTGAGCTGCGATGGGAGGGGGAATATCCAGTATCACAGGCAGCGAAGACCCGGGGCGAACCTGAACCTCCATTGGCAAGCCGGCCGGGCTGAGAGCCGACAGGTTCAGTTGGCCTTCGTATTCGCCGGGGCGCAGCAGATCGAGGCCGTCCACGTGCAGGAGTGCGGACTGGATACCGTTTTCGGGCACTTCTACCGAAAGGCTCACAGATGCCTCGCGCACGATTTCGCTTGTATCGGAGCGGCGCAAAACCAGCGACGCTTCCAGAGTTCCGATCTCTTCGACCGTACTCGCCTGGACCGTAAGCGACCATCCCTCAGGCGGCATCTTCGCCAAATCGATATCGGCCGGCAGACCCCGTACATAGATCGCCGGCTCCACTTCCAAGAGCGTGCGGGCATAGTCTCCGAAACGGACGCCATCGATGGCCGCCGTCAACAGGAAGAGTGCCTCGTAGTCACGTCCGTCCTGCGGCATAAAGCCGTCGTCGGAGCAGATCTGTTCGCTGCAGTTGATCCTCTTCCGGTAGACAATCTGGCCGACGGTGAGATCGGTGACGTATACGGCGGCTTGCATATCCTGCAACTGAACGCCGGGGCCAAAACCCACCTGCAGTTGGAGGCTGCCGTCTTGCAGAATTCCGGGATTGTTGGCGGAGGGAGAGAAGACCTGCGCTCGGGCAACTCCTCCGAGGCCTGAAGCCGGAAAGTGCGCCGCAGTTGCAACGGCTCTCTATCCTCTCCCAATTGAATCGTCACCTCATCGGCGCCGCCAGCAAGCTGGTGGGCGGCGACCGTTCTGCCGCTGACAGGGTCCTGACCCAGGACGGGGATCGGTATATTGCCATTGAGCATCAGGGGCTCGTCCGCGGCGGGGCCGGCGCCGGCAACGATGACGAAGGCGATTTGCCGGTAGGATAGTAGCGCGTTGCGGCCGGATTGCCCTGTACGCTGGGAGGCGGAAAGAGCAGTTCGGGATAGCTGTCCGCCTGGACGACGGCAAAACTGCTCAGGTCGGTCGTTTTTGCCACCCATTCGCCGGCCGCCAGCGGGGCGACAGCAACGTTCAGGTCGATATTGCCGTCGGCGAGCAGGCTCTGTGTCAGCATCGGCGCGCCGTCCCGCTCCACCGCCGTGATCGCCGATCGCGGGCTGACGAAGGCGATGCTGCCCGCGCCATGCGCCTTGCGGATCGAGATGGTCAGGTTGCCGTGCACGTTGCGGTGGGTGACGAGCGATCGGTCCGACTTCATCTCGGCGAAAAGTTCGCTGAAGATAAGCAGGAGATCCTGCGAACTCTTGGCCTCCCGCGCCAGAGGCGAACTGGTTTTGAGAAAATCACCCGCGCAGCCCGCATCGGAATTGCAGAGGATCACCGGGTAGAGCAGTGCGCCCGCGTCCTCATCTGCGCCAGCAAGTTGGTGATGGTCTGGCGCTGGCCGGTAACCTGTAAGGGGGCGGTCGGCTCGCCGTCTGTCAGCAGCAGCACGTACTGGCTGCGGTTGGGATCGCCGTGAACCTCGAACAGCCGCAGCGCCTCTTTCAGCCCCAGATCCATGCGTGTGTAGCCGCGCAGCGCGTAATCCTCTGGGGCTTGGAGCGATGCAGCCAACCGGCGGCGGTTTTCGGCGCTGCCGACCTCCTGCAACAAGCTCATGGCGCCGACGCCCTCCGCGGTACTGTCGAAACGCAGAACGGCGATGCGGTCGGCGGGGTCGGCCAGGTGGACCAACAGACGGGCCGCGCTATAACGCAGTTCGTTGGGGTCGCTGGGGGCGTTGAAGCTGAAGCCTTCGCAGGGGGGGTCGGAGGGCGGTTTTCCTTGCGGCCAGGGCCAACAGGTGGCCATGCTGCCGGAGTCATCGAGAATGACGATTACGTCAATGGGAGCGGCCCCGGTCGCGGACTGACGTGGGGGCACGGCTCGGGCTTCGGCGTGTGCCGGCGCGGCGACACGGCCTGTTATCCACAGGAAGAGAAACCCACATAGCAGACAAGCAAACACGGCCCAAAGCCGCCGGTCCCAATCCCGCGAGGGGCGGGGGACGAGCAGAGGCCGCTGAAAAACGATTCCGGGCAGATGGCGCTCCTGACACCTGTGGCTACTGCACAGCGGCTAGCAACCGACCACGAATCACTGAACTTACCCGATAAAATAGAGCAACAAACGCGCGCATCGGCTCCGCGTTCCCCTGCTTTGGCAGCAGAGGTGCTGTCCCCCACAGGCCGATCCCGCCGAACGTTCCGATCCCGTGACGGGCAGCGGATGGGCGGGATAGACTTTGCAGTGAGCGAAATGCGCGCGCATCGGCTCCACTTATATCTTTGAAAATTGTAACACAGCGCAGATTGGTAATACAAGAGCCATGTTCAGGTCGGATGCCCGTCGCCGGCGCCGTTTTCCGGATACCTGGCAACGGGCAATATGTCCCCGAATCGGCCCCGCGCGTCTGATGAACTTCAGGGCAGTTACACTGGAGATCTGGGCGGACCGCCTGTCCCAACAGGGTTTTCCAACTCCTGATTTCCAGTTTTCGATACACGCCCGGATGCGAGGCAGTTACTGAAATGTACGAATTGACGATCAGAAACTGCCGCCTGGCTTTTGGGCGATTTGCCTACGATCTGCCAATGAAATACAGACCCAAGTGGCACGTGGTGTTGCGATCCGCCATTCACGAACCACAGGCGTTACTGGCTGTCTGTGCCCTCCGCTGAAAGCTCGGCGAGCATCTCTGCGAGTGCAGCCACGAACTGGTCGGCGGGCAAGGCGCCGGGGATCAACCGCCCCTCGCCGCCGGCAAGGACGACAAAGGTAGGTGTGCCGCGAACAAAGGGCGCGCCGTCCTGCATATCACCCTGCACGGCCTGCGCGGTCACGTCTCCTGTCAGACAAGTTGCAAAGGCCTCCGTATCCAACTCGAATTCAGCTGCCAACTCCATAAAATAGCTGCTGTTATTGGGGCGGGACCACGCTGCCATTTCGACGAACAGGCGATGATGGAACTGCCAGAACGCCTCCTGCTCGGCCGCGCACTCGGCTGCGACCGAAGCGGTAAAGGCAAAGGGATGGATATTCTCAATGGGGAAATGCTTGAATACCCACATCACCTCACCCTGCCCGACAAACTCTTCATCCAGAACTGGTTGCGTTGTCAAGGCGTGACGACTGCAGTAGGGGCATTGGAAGTCGCTAAATTCAACGACTACGATCGGGGCGTCGCTACTGCCCTTGTAAACGTCACCGGCCAAGGTAAAGCCTGGTCGGTCCGGGTCGGGCGCCAGGCCCTCGGCTGTCGCCCAGAAGGGCAACTGTCCATCGCCCTGCTGCTGCTGCTGTTGCTGGGCCTGGGCATGGGCCGCGCCCAGGGGCGAGCCGCCGGACGCGATCGTGTCGATCCAGCCGGCGAAAGTGTCGTATGGCTGGGCGCCGGTGAGGGTAAAGGTTTCGCCGGTCTCTTCGCGGACGAAGCGGAAGCTGGGCGTGCCGGTGAAGCCAAGGGATTGGGCTTCGGCCAGGCTCTCGTTCACCTTAGCCAGCTGGCTTTCGTTATTGGCCATGCAGGATCCGTATTGGGTGGGGTCGGCGCCCAATTCCTGCACCAGTCCGGCAAAGTAGGACAGAGCCTCTTCGAGTGGCGCCCACTCTTTCTGGGTGCGGAAGATCATATCGTGCATCTGCCAGAAGAGAACGATATCCTGCTCTGCCACACAGTTGGCGGCAATGGACGCGGCCAGAGCATTGGCGTGTAGAGAGGAGAGGGGCATATCGCGGAAGACGAATTTCACGGTGCCGATTTCGGCGAACCCAGCCAGGAGCGCCGGTTCGGTCTGGATCACATGGCGGGCGCAGAAGGGGCATTCGTAGTCGCTGTATTCGTAGATGGTGATGGCGGCATTGGGGTCGCCGCGGTAGGGATATCCCTCAGCGGTAAAGCCGACAGGAACGCCTCTGTGCATCGCCGGTTGTGTGTCGCCGGCAGGGGCGGGGGCGACGGCCGGCCGACTATGTTGCCATCGGCATCGGTTGTGCAGCCGGCGACAAGCAGAAGGGCGACAACGAGGAAGGCGAGGAGGCCAGGGCGCAGGCTGCTCCTTTCTCTAGCCTTGTCGCTCCCTTCTTTGCTACGGCGCATACGTCTGACTTGCAAATTCATGAGTCCTCCTTGAGGAATATCCGACTGTAATTATAACTGTGGGCCTGGGCAGTTGGTTCCATGGGCTTCCACCTGGTTATGTGAGCGCCCATAAGATTGCCGTGATGACCTTGCAGTAAATCAAGGCAATCGAGTGAATTCGTCTCGAAAGTATGAGGCTTCTTATTGTAACGGTGAGAACAGAAGAGTACCAAGCTGGCGGGCCGGTTCGGCGGGTTCGCGTTGTTCTCGCCTGGTGTAGTCAAGTTTGCCTGAAAGCGTAGTTGCATCGTACTATGGAGACTTTGGAAGGGCAGTGGCCACCCCAGTTGCCGGTGGTGCGTGGACAGTGGACGGCGCACACTCATCGACCGCGAAGCTCTAAAGGTGAGAGGACGGTATGGACGACACGACCCTGGCAGCAGGTGTTGAAGCAGCAAAGGCGTCTGAGGCAGCCGGACGCTCCAACCGCGCCGGGGATGGGGGGCAAGGCTCAGACGGTTCCCCGACCCGCGGGCACGGGAGCGCGCAGGTCCGACCGCCCACCCTCTGACCGGGCACCTGCGTCTACTTGAGTCGGAGGCGATCTATGTGCTGCGGGAGGTTGCGGCGCAGTTCGAGCGGCCCTGTCTGCTCTTTTCCGGCGGCAAAGATTCGATCGTGTGCGCGCATCTGGCGCGCAAGGCCTTTGCGCCGGGGCGGATTCCCTTTCCGCTGCTGCACATCGACACCGGCCACAACTTTCCCGAAACGTTGGCCTTTCGCGACAAACTCATGAAAAGGCTGGGGGTTCGCCTGCTGGTGCGTTCCGTGCAGGATTCGATCGACGCCGGGCGCGTGCAGGAGGAACCGGACGGCGATCCCAGCCGTAACAGGTTGCAGACCGTCACCCTACTGGATGCGCTGACGGAGTTGCGCATCGACGCGGCCGTGGGCGGCGCGCGCCGCGATGAAGAAAAGGCGCGTGCGAAGGAGCGCTTCTTCTCTCACCGCGACGCCTTTGGCCAGTGGAATCCCAAAAACCAACGGCCCGAACTGTGGAACCTTTTCAACGGCCGTAAACACAACGACGAACACTTCCGCGTCTTCCCCATCAGCAACTGGACCGAGCTTGATATCTGGCAGTACATCGCCGAGCAGGAGATCGACCTGCCCAGCCTCTATTTCGCCCACGAACGGGAGGTTGTGAATCGGGATGGGATCCTGTTGGCGGTCGGGGCCTACGTCCGACCACGGCGGGGAGAAACGGTGAGTCGTGAGAGGGTGCGCTTCCGCACAATCGGCGACACGACCTGCACGGGCGCGTTCCGCTCGTCTGCGAGCGATCTGACGGAGATCATTGAGGAGGTCGCCACCGCCCGCATCACAGAACGGGGCGACCGGGCCGACGACCGCCGCAGCGAGGCCGCGATGGAAGACAGAAAGCGGCAAGGCTACTTCTAACTGCGGTGGATGGCAATTAGTGAACAGTGGCTGGAGTGGTTACTGTTCACTGGCTACCGGCCGCTGACTACAAACCACCGGGGTCAGTTATGGACCTACTACGCTTCTCCACCGCCGGCAGTGTCGACGACGGCAAATCGACCTTGATCGGGCGGTTGTTGTACGATTCGAAAGCGATATTCGAAGACCAACTGGAAGCGGTCGAGCAGGCGAGCGCGGCGCGCGGCGCGCCATCGGTCGACCTGGCGCTGCTGACCGACGGGCTGCGGGCGGAGCGGGAGCAGGGCATCACCATCGACGTTGCTTACCGCTACACCGCGACGCCCAAACGCAAGTTCATCATCGCGGACACGCCCGGGCACATCCAATACACCCGCAACATGGTGACCGGCGCCTCCACCGCGGAGCTGGCGATCATTCTGGTTGACGCCCGCAAAGGCGTCCTCACCCAGTCGAAGCGGCACAGTTTCATCGCCTCTCTATACAGATCCCCCATATCGTTGTCGCCGTCAACAAGATGGATCTGGTCGGATACAGCGAGGCGAGATACCAGGAGATCGTCGCCGAGTACCGCGCCTTCGCGGCCAAGCTCAATGTGCGCGACGTCGTGTATATTCCTATCTCCGCGCTGCACGGCGATAACATAGTCAGCCAGAGCGACAGGATGCCCTGGTACCACGGGGCAACGCTGCTGCACCATCTGGAAACGGTCAACATTGGCGCCGGCCACAACAACGTGGACTTTCGTTTGCCGATCCAATATGTGATCAGAGCGAACAGTGCCAGTGACCATGACTTTCGCGGTTTCGCCGGCAAGATCGTCTCCGGCCGCATCGCGGTGGGTGAGGAGGTGGTGGCGCTGCCGGCCGGTATCCGCAGCCGCGTGGCCGGCATCCACCACGGCGAAGAAAGCTTCGAGCGGGCCGTTAACGGCGATGCAGTGGTGATCACACTCGAGGATGAGATCGACATCAGCCGGGGGGACATGCTGGTGCGGGTGCGCAACCTGCCCCACTCGTCCAACCAGATCGATGCGACGCTGTGCTGGATGAGCGAAGAGCCGCTGAAAATCCAGGGGCAGGTGGCCAATAACTTCAGCGGCCAATGGTACTGGTTGCAGCATTCGACGCGGCGGGTGCGCGCCTCCGTCCAGGAGTTGAACTATCGCATTGACGTGGACACGATGCACCGGGAGGATGCGCAAACTTTGCATTTGAATGAGATCGGCCGCGGGCAGATTGTGACCACGGAGCCTCTTTTCTTCGATTCGTATCAGATCAACCGCGCCACAGGCAGCTTCATTCTCATCGACCCCCACACCAACAACACGGTTGCGGCCGGCATAATCCGGGACCGGGCGCGGCGGGTGAGCGAGCTGGTGCAGAAGCGAGAAGAGAGAGAAACGCCCTCGCTCCGCACGTCCCGCTCCTCCAATGTCGTTTGGGAACCGGTCTCGGTCACGCGGCCAATGCGGGAGGAGTTGAACGGGCATGGGGCGGCGGTGCTCTGGTTCACGGGGCTGTCCCGGTTCGGGCAAATCGACGGTGGCGAAGGCTCTGGAACAGAGGTTGTTCGGGTTGGGCGTGCGTACCTTCTCGCTGGACGGGGACAATGTGCGTCATGGTCTGAACAGCGATCTGGGCTTTGGTGCGGAGGCGCGCACGGAGAATATTCGCCGGGTGGCGGAGGTGGCCAGACTGGCGTTTGAGCATGGCAATATCGTGCTATGCACATTTATCTCGCCCTATACGGCGGATCGGGAGGCGGTGCGGGCGCTGGCTCCGGAGGGCAGCTTCTGGGAACTCTACGTCAAGTGCGACGTAGAGATCTGCAAGGAGCGGGACCCCAAGGGGCTGTACACGCGCGCCGCGCGCGGCGAAATCCCGAACTTCACCGGTGTCTCAGCCCCGTATGAGGAACCGCCCCAGCCGGAGATGGTGCTGGAGACGGATCGGCACAGCGCGGACGAACTGGCGCAGCGGATTCTGGAGGAGTTGGTGCGGGCCGGGATAGTATCCGGCAGAGACCAGTGACCGCTGCCGATTTCAGTTCAAAGGGCGATCGGTGGGATAGTTGAGAACTGCGATTGTGATTGGCGGCGGCATGGCGGGCCTTTTTGCCGCCAACGTGCTCGCCAGCCATTGCGAGCGAGTCACTGTCCTCGAGCGGGACGAAGAGTGGAGTCCCCCGTCACAGGCCAGCGGTCACACAGCAGCCACGGATAACCGGTCTCAGGTCACTGGCCGGCCGGGCGTGCCCCAATCCCGCCATGTGCATGTGCTTCTGTTGCGGGGCGTGCAGATCCTGCGGCAACGTTTCCCCGGCCTGGAGGAGGAGTTGCTGGCTCTCGGCACGCCGTCGCTCAACTGGCTGAAAGATACGGCTGCCCTGGCCGGCGGCAGTTGGTTGCCCCGTTTCGATTCGAATCTGATCGGTTTCAGCGTGAGCCGCACACTGCTGGAAGACAAGGTGCGCGAGCGCCTTCGACGCCGCGGCAACATCCAGTTCCGCACCGGCCACCGTGTGGTAAATTTAAGCGCCAGCCGCGAACAGGGGTCTGTGCGTGACCGGCGGCAAAGCAAGCGGTTCGGACGATGCCCGCGTAACCGGCGCGGTCTGCATCGCAGAAAATGAAACGGTCACGCTGCATGCCGATCTAGTCGTCGATGCCAGCGGGCGCTCTTCTCGTCTGCCCGGCTGGCTGGAAGAACTCGGATATGCCGCGCCGCAGGAATCGACCGTAAACGCCGACGTGGGAAAAAAAAAACACACCCAAAACAAAACCCACCCAACCAATATCGACATCCGCGCGCCGTACAACGAAACTCGAACCGGATGTATGACTGGCGGAAAAATAAAGGACACAAAAACACAAAAAAAACCACAAACAAAAAAAAAAAAAAAAAAAAACCCAAAAAAAACCACCACAAAACAAAAAAAAACAAAATGGAAAATGGAAAATGGTGTGCTGTCGCGAGCGTTCCCGATATCGTGGCGCGCGTCGTTCAGACGGTCGTAGCGCAGAGTGATGCAGCGTGGGTCGTGGACCTCCTGTCGGCTATACCGGGTGAACATCACCGCCGACCGACGACGGCCGCCTCGAGTTCGCCCGCGGATGATCGACCTGGCCGCAGTTTGGGACCGGAAGCGATTAGTGCAGCCGAACCGCTCACAAGTATCGGGGGCTACCGGCGCACCGAGAACCACTGGCGCCACTATGAACGATTGAAACGGTGGCCGCAGGGCCTGATCGCGCTGGGAGACTCAGTTTGCGCGTTCAACCCGGTCTACGCCCAAGGCATGACGGTGAGCTGCGTCTCATCGGCAGAAGAGAATCTCTCGACAGCGTACAGAAAGAAATCCTCGACAGCGTCCCGTTCCTTAGGACGGAGCGGAAAACGGCGTAACACGAGAAGGGCAACCATGGAGAGCGCGCCCCTCCAGTGGTGTGCATCGGGTCGGGTAGGTCGGTATGGCGCCTTTCAGAAGAAGCTGGCGAAGATGCTGCAAACACCATGGCAACTTGCCACCAGTGATGATTTCCGCTGGGCAGGCCGCAAAGCCGGTGACTCCACTCTCATTGATCGCTTTATGCACCGGTATATCGAGCATGTGCTGGACCGCATCCACCGACCGGATGTCTGCCTCACATTCTTTCAACGTCGCCCATCTGATCAGTCCACCGGCGGCACTCTTCCGCCCCAGCATCGCCCTGCCTATCCTGTGGGAGATGGCGAAGACCAGTTTTTAGCAGCTGGACGCGCGAACCACTGAAAGCCGGGGACGGGAAACTATTTTGTTGTGACCAGGGGCGCGAGCGTCTCGACTGTGCTGGCGCCGATACCGGGGACCCGCTGCAGATCGTCGACCGAACTGTAAGGGCGGTCGACGATGATGGCGGCAGCTTTGCTGGGGCCGATGCCGGGTAGGGCTGTGAGTTCCTCGGCTGAGGCGGTGTTGATGTTGACCAGTCCGCCGGCCGGCGCATTGGTGTGACCTGAGGAGGCCGCGGCGTTTGGCAGAACCTCGCCCGATACGCCGGGTGAGGGCTGATTTGCAGCCGGCAAAGCCGATGACGCGTCTGCGCCGGTCTGCGGTTGCGGCAAGGGCACATGAATCTGCGCGCCGTCGAAAACGATCTCCGCCTGATTCACCAACGCCGGGTCGGCACCGGCCAGCAGACCCCCTGCCTTGGCCAGTGCATCTCCGACGCGGGCGCCCGCCGGCAGTTCAACCAAACCGGGATTTTGCACGCCGCCACTGACGAAAACGAAGAGTGGGCCCGGTGTCGCGGTGGGCAGTGGAGTCGGCGTAGGCGCCGCGGTGGGTGGTGGGTGCAGCACGATCGGGGGCGGGGACGGTCGACGCAGAAACCACATCAGAACCCCTGCAAGAATCGCGCACAGCAGGAATCCGAGCAAAAATCCGAGGCCCATATGTCGCAAAGCCGTTGCTGCAGAGGCGTCGCGTGTGGCCTGGGGAAGGTCTTCCTTTCCCGGGCTTCGAGTCGGTCGGGGGTCCAACTCTGCGCTCATGTCAGGCCCTTTTCGCTTGGGTCTTTTTTGGCGCAAGAGTCTTCCATTGCCGCGCCGGTACAAGAAATCAACAGTTCATCAGTGGCTTGTGCTGGATGCTGGCCGCAGATCACTGGCCACCGATTACTGCCGTTCTCCGCTTCAGCGCGTTTTTTCCGAAAATGGTGAGCGCCTGGTCATCGTTCAACGGGTGGAAGAGACCGGGACGAACGTCGCGCAGGTAGCGTTCCAATGGCAGGCTGCGGGCCATAGCTGCCCCGCCCACCACGCGCACGGCGTGATCAACTGCCTCGATTGCGTTATTGGTGACGGTAAACTTGGTGGCGATCACAGCAGGGGCGAGCTCATCCCGCGCGCCGAGTTGATCCCAGTCCCTGGCCGTGTTGTAGAGGAGCGCTCTGGCCTGGAGCAGCAGCAGTTCGGCTTGGCCGAGACGACGCTGGATGCTCTCCAGTTCGGCGATCGGTTTGCCGAGGGCGGTGGGCACGCGTGTCAGGGCGAAGTCGGCGGCAAAATCGAGGGCCGCTTGGGCTACGCCGAGATAGACGGCGCCGACCGTGCAGATAAACCAGGCATTTGCCGGAACCTTGCCGGTTGTGCGGGGGCTGGGCGCGCCGCGCCCGATCATCTGTTCCTTCGTCACGCGGGCGTTGACGATCTTCAGATCGTGGCTGCCGGTGGCGCGCATACCGAAAGAGTCCCAGGTTTCGATAATCTCAAAGTGGGGGCCGGCCGGGATGACGAAGCGGGCGACGTGGCCGCTGCCGTCCTGCAGAGCAGCGGGAATGATGAAATAGTCCATTTCCGGACTGAGGCTGGCAAAGGTCTTGAGCCCGTTGATGAGCCATGCGGTCGTACCATTTTCCCGGGCCGGTTCGGCGGTGGTTTCCGGCAGGCCGCCGCGACTGGGGCTGCCCAGATTCGGCTCGGTGGCGACGGAGTTGATCAGCGCGCCGCGTTCGACGGCATCGCGGCAGACCTGGGCGAAGAGAGGTTGGGGCCAGCCGCCGCCGCGTCCCTGTTCGGAGGCGGCGTCTGCATCAGTTTCGGCAGCGCCCCCTACCACCTGCACGTGCATGACAAAGCTGAGCGCGGTGCTGCCGTCTCCCTGCGCCAGCGTCTCCATCGTCAAGGTCGATTCGAGCAGATTGGCGCCCCAGCCGCCGAACTCCTGCGGGACCACCAGGGCGGGCAGCCCGACCCGCCGGATGTCGGCGAAATTTTCGTGCGGAAAGGTTCCGTCGCGGTCATGTTGGGCAGCCCGCTCGCGCAGCGCGGGGATCAAGCTGCAGGCAACGTCGACAAAGCGCTGCTGGCGTTCGGTTCTCGGGTAAAGCATACAGCCTCCGAAACTGCAGTGGCTAGAGCAGTTCCTGACCACAGATCACGATTCACTATCCACAGGGGTCACTGACAACGGTTTTGGCGATGCGTGGCGAGTATTTTAACATAGCTCTGACGGGATTAACTATAATCGCTCGGGCTTTTTCCAGTGGCCCACAAGCTGGAATCGCAAGAGCCTTCGGCATGGAGTTTCGATGAAGCATAGTCAGATACGGGTTCTGATCGCCAAGCCGGGGCTGGACGGCCACGACCGCGGCGCCAAGGTGATCGCCAGGGCGCTGCGCGATGCCGGATTCGAGGTGATCTACACGGGCATACGCCAGACGCCCCAGATGATCGCCGAGGCCGCCTTGCAGGAGGATGTGGATGTCGTCGGTCTGTCGATCCTCAGCGGCGCGCATATGACGCTCTGCCCCAAGGTGGTCGAACTGCTCCATGCCCAGGGTCAGGAAGATGTGTTGGTGCTTTTGGGCGGCATTATTCCTGACGAGGATGCCGCCCAACTGAAAGCCGCCGGCGTTCACGCGGTCTTTGGGCCGGGCACGTCCTCGGCCGAGATCATCGCTTTCATCCGAACTGCCGTGGCCAGTGGATAGCGGCTCTGGCTTTGCGGGCACCCACCGACTGGGGACGCAAACGCCTTCGACCAGTGGTTAGCGCCTGAACTATCCACTCGCCGCGAACCACTGGAAACTGGCAACTGGTGTTGCCAATGCCCAAACCGATTCCCACACAGCAACTGATCGATAGCCTCCTCAAGGGGGACCGGCTCGCGCTTGCGCGCGCCATCAGCCGCGTGGAGGACGACGCGGAGGACGCAGCCCGCATCGTGCAGGCCGTCTTCGCGCACACGGGCAAGGCGCACCTGGTCGGCATCACCGGCGCGCCGGGCACGGGCAAATCGACGCTGGTCTCGGCGCTGGTCGAGAGCTACCGCGCGAGCGGGCTGACCGTCGGCGTGCTGGCGGTGGACCCGACCAGTCCCTTCAGCGGCGGCGCGCTGCTGGGGGATCGCGTGCGCATGACGGGGCACAGCGGTGACGCCGGTGTTTTCATCCGCTCGATGGCGACCCGCCGGGGGATAGGCGGTCTCGCGAAAGCAAGCGCGGCCGCGCTGCTGCTGCTGGATGCAGCAGGATTTGACCGCATTCTTGTCGAAACGGTGGGCGCGGGCCAGGCGGAAGTCGAGATCGCCAGCGTTGCCGATACGGTTGTGGTGGTGGAGGCGCCGGGTATGGGCGACGAGGTGCAGGCGATTAAGGCGGGGCTGCTGGAGATCGCCGATATTTTCGCGGTCAACAAGGCGGACCGCAAGGGCGCGGCGCGCACGGTCGCGGCGCTGGAGATGATGTTGGAGACGGGCGGCGCTTCGGCTCAGACCATTCTCCATCACGGACAACGCTTGGAGATGGGCGCGGCTGCTTCCGAAACTGAGGCGGCGGGCGGATGGTCGATCCCGGTCCTGAAGACGGTCGCGATCAGCGGGGGCGGCGTCGGCCAACTGCGGGATGCGCTTGAGGGGCACCGGGCATGGCTGGGCGAGAGCGGTGCACTGGCGGCGGGGGAGAGAAAGCGACTTGACCACATGCTGCAGACGCTTGTTCAGGCCGAACTGTTGGCGCGGATGGAACGGGCGTTGTCCCCGGAGCTGCGCCGGAATCTGGTGGAAAAGATGCAGGGCAGGCAGATCGATCCTTACAGCGCCGCCGCGGATTTGGTGAAGAAGCTGTAGGCGTAGAACCCTCGGTCCATTGTGCTATAATCTTGCCAGTACAGTTGCCGCTGCTCAGGTTTTGCGGGTGCCCGGCAGATAGAGTTGCAAAAGCCTTCGGCATACCCTGGACCCACTCCCCATGAACAGTTCAGAAATCGCAACCCTCTTTTCAAATCAGGGCGCCTGGAGTGAGCAGGAATACCTGGCGCTGGATACCAACCGGCGCGTCGAATTCGACAGCGGCTTTGTAGAGATACATGATGCGCCGACCGATCGGCACCAGGGCATCATTGTGTACTTCATCGTCACTCTTACAGTGCATGCGAGGCAGATCGGTGGTGTTGTGCGACCGTCCGGTATGCGGTTGCGCCTGTGGGAGCAGAAGTACCGTGAGCCGGATATTGTCTTTCTGCGCGATCGCAACAGCAACCTGCGTCAAGAGAACTTCTGGGATGGGGCTGACCTCGCAATTGAAATCGTGAGCCAAAGCCTTGAAGACCGCGAGCGAGACCTGGAGACGAAACGGATCGAGTATGCGCGGGCGGGCATCCAGGAGTACTGGATTGTGGATCCCGAACAGGAAACCGTCACGGTTCTGTCTCTGACCGGCGACGTCTACTCCGAAAGCGATCTCTTCGGACGCGGCGATGTCGTTGCATCTTCCCTTTTGCCTGAACTTGCTCTGCCCGTCGCGGAGATCCTGGACGCGAATTAGGGCCGCGAAGATCAGTCGTTTCCCGCTTCTTATATAAATTCAGTTTGAGACCAAGATTTCTCGCACAGGTTGCATCCTGGGATCGCGGGCGTCTCGCCCTCTCTGCCAGCATTCGGGGTGAGGTCCAGATTTGGGGGTGACAGGCCAGCAGGTTGTGCAGTTCAGTGTTGTTGCCCAGAGGTAGTCAGAAACTCACCCTCATTTGGGGACGTGCCCTACGATTTTGGTCATTTAACGCGCCGCGCCAATAACCAGAGGGCATTTCAGACAGTGTACCAGTTTCGGGAGTTCGAAGTCCCGAAAGCGATACATTTGAGCGAGACAGACGCTGCGGGATGCGCGTAGACTGTTCCGTAGAAGTAAACAGTCACGTTCTTTGTCCACTTCTGGTTCGCTAGGGAGCGAAACTATGAACAGGACAGCGCCGGGTATTCGAAGGCTCTTGATCTCATTTGGGACATACTAAAGTAGCCGAACTTGAACAACTGATCCAGCAAATCGAACAAGACTATAGGTGGTCAAGGAAGACCCTATACACATTCTGTTCTTCTTGACCGCATCATCCGTGATTTTGACCCATCCAATACTCGGGAGGTCGGTCAGTGAAGAACACAATCTTTACCCCCATTTTTCTACTCTTATTGCTGGTGGCCCTGGTGCCGGAAAGCGCGCTTGCCCAGCAGGGCTCGACTGCGGACAGTGCGCCCAGCGGCTGTGATTCTGCCAAGCCAATTACGCCGGGTGTTACTGTAACCGACGACCTCTCCGACGAACTGGCCGCCCATACGGACATTGCCAAAGTCAGCACCTCGATTTCAGGGGGGAAGATACTGACAGCCGTCTTCCACCTGAGAGACCTTCCGCAGACCCTGACATTCAATAGACCAGGCGCTGCAGCCAGGCTCGATCGAGTACAGTTGGGAAGTGTGGTTGGACCTGGACGGCGACCCGGGAACCGGCTTTATGGGAGGATTCGAATACCTCCTGTCCGCCTATCATACTGTGTCCGAGGCAGACAGAGGGCGGCAATCAGCCTGTTGCAATCGAGGGCGAATTGAAGGCAAGCACTTGGCGCTGGGCGTGGACGGCCCGCACCCCCGTCCTGAATGCCAAAGTTGAACTGTCTCCCGAAGCGGACACGATAACCCTTCACGGCGGCGTACCAAGCCTCAAGCCTGAAGCGAGACTCGCGTTCAAGAGCACTGATGCACTGGGTGGTTCCGATCAGGTAGGATGCTTTCCTGCCTTCGGCGAGCGTGTGACCCTCGGCGGCTGCGAATCCGGCCCGAGCGCCCTCCTGCCCGGTCAAACCGCGATTGACGAAATCTCGCATTCGTTGCCGCCGCACATCGACATAACTGAAGTCAATACCTATCTGAGCGACGGTGATCTGACCGTCGTATTCCATCTGCGGGATCTGCCGGACAGGCTCACTTTCAATCGAACCGGCGTGCCAGAAGGGCAGATGGAGTATATATGGCAAGTATCGGTCGACGTGGACAATGACAAGAGACCGGGCATTGAAGGGGCCGACTTTGCGCTTCTGGCCTTCCACGTCCCTCGCCAGTCCAAAGTTGGAAACAATAGCACGCAGTCCATCGAGAATGGAACGGAGGCCGCCGGCTGGGAACTGTCATCAGATGGCGGCGTCAGAGGCCTGTTTTTCGGTAGCGCCACTCTGGAACAGTCTGCCGAAGCCAACACAATTACTCTCAGCGGGGCCGTTCATGGAATCACGCCACAATCGCGACTTACATTCGGGGTCTACGACTATATGTATGGGTCCGATACAGTTGGATGTCTCGCGTCGGCTTTCTGGGAGGATGCGCCTCCTAAGTGTGGTTCTGTGGAAGCCTTTACCCCGGGCGATTCCGTGACCGACGACGTTTCGGATGTGCAGGAATGGAGTCTGACCATACCCGACGAGTCTGTAGACGCTGACAACGGCCACATCGACATCACCGGTATCGACTCATCCTTTCGGGCGAATCGCTGACCGTGGTATTCCATCTGCGAGACCTTCCCGAGACCCTGACTTTCAACAGAACCGGTGCTCAGAATGGCATGATGGAGTACAGTGTGGCAGGTGCAGATCGATGTCGACAATGACCGGAATACCGGCTTTGGCGGAGGCTACGAATACCTGCTGTCGGCTTATCATATTGCTTTCCTGTTAGAAAGCAGGGAAAACCATGTAGCCCCAATCTCAAACGGACTTGAGTCCGACATTTGGGAAATTGGCCCCACAAGGATTATGACTTTCGAGGAAGCGAGCCATATTGCCTCCGCCGAGGCTGACACAGTTACCCTGATTGGAAACATACCTGGAATCACTGCGGAATCGCGACTCGTCTTCGTTACGACCGACGCGCTGAGAGGCGAAGACCAACTGGAATGTCACCTTCCCATGAATCTGATGCTGGTGCCAGCCCCTTGCAGCACGGACGAGGCGATGATCAAGCCGCTCCAGACCATAGCCGACGAAGTATCTGACGAACTGCCGGCACACGTTGACCTGATCGGCGTAAGCACGGCTCTGTCCGGTGAAACCCTTGCCGTCGTATTCCATCTCAGGGACGTGCCGGAAACGCTCGTGTTCGACAGGGAAGGCGTAGGCGAAAGAGCGTACGAGTACGGCTGGAAGTGTCGATTGACGTAGACGGTCAGAGAGCGGCCACTTTGGTTGGCTACCAGTTCCGCTACATACTGTCCTTCCAGAGAACAAAGATAGCAGTACCACTGCGCTTCCCTCGGTAGCACAGTGAAGCTCATACTCACTAGAGAATCAAGACGCTTCAGAAGATGGGGAAGCGGCCATTGTCGTTTCTCCCTATGCCGATACAATCACGCTGGTTGGGGACATACCCGGCATAACGCCCGACTCGAGGCTCATATTTAACGCATATGATTCACTGAAAGGAAGCGACTATGTCGAATGTCGAGAGATGCCCTCGTCGGAATGACAGCGGAGATGTCTCTGAGGAATGTCGCGACGAGCGCGCCGCGCGTCAGGGCCAGTCGATGCAGGAGTTCTTGCGCGGCAAGTTGGAGCGTATCGCGTCGCGTCCCTCGGTAGACGCCTGGCTGCAAGGCGTCGTTGAGGGCGGAAGGCTGCGGGAACCGCGGGTTGACCCTGACGATCCTGCGCGCCGCGTGACGCGGATCGATCTTGACACTATCGGTCGATGTAAACATCGGAGGCGCCGCGGCGCTGTGGGTTGCCGCCCACTCGTGACGCTCGACGGGAGGCTGAACCGCGCGAGCGGCCCCCTCTGTGAAATCATTGCACCACCCCGTTTCTACGAGTAGGACCAAAGAGTCCCAGGGCCAGAGAGGTTTGACACTGGCTTAAACTGCGTCGCTGGCAGAGGTGCCTGTGAGCAAGGCCAGCGCCGCTTTTTCAGCTTCCTCCTGCGCGCGCGGGAGGTCGTCAATGGTGATGACGCGACTCGGTTGGAGGAAAAGAAGGATACCTCCTTCACGTGGACACCGGCCGCCTTGCTCAGAGCGAGCGCGTAGGCCCCACCTTGCAGACGATACCGTCCCCATCGCCGTTCGATCGCGTCTTCGGAACGGACGGTATCGGTCTTGTAATCGACGATCACGAAGCCGTCGTCTTCCTCGAATAGCAGGTCGATGAACCCTTCAACGATGCCGTCGCCGATGGGGCCGGCCACCGGCGACTCGCGCCACCATCGCTTCGAATCCAGCGCACGCTGCACGATGGAGCTGTCTAACGCGCCGCGCACGAGGCGCGAAATTTCGTCCGCTTGCGTGGGCACGCCTTCGGCCGCGGCTTGGGCCCGCACAGTTTTCGTCGAGGTCGCTGCCCTGTGCGCAGATCGACAACCTGCAGCACGGCGTGAACCGCGCGGCCGATGTTGGTCCCGGCGCGACCGCGCCGCCAGGGTTCATCGGGGACGTCCTGTTCCTCTTTCGCGTCCTGGGCGAGACGGGTGGCGGCGGCTGAGATGGGCCGACTGCGGGCAGCGATGAGCTCCTTCCTTTGCTGTTGCCAGCGCTGGCGCGCCTCGGGGGTGTTATCGGCGGGGGCCACTTCTTCGCTGGCGGAAACATAGGCGCGCGACGAGACGGCCGCTGAGGGCTCGAATCGCTGCCAGAGATGGTCCGCCCCCTGCATGAACTCTTCGATGTGGGCTGCTGCCGACCTGCTGTCCCCTTCTTTACGGTAGAGGCTGACTATGAGATGATCGCGCGCACGCGTCGCCGCAACGTAGATCAGCCGCACGCGCTCCTCTTCCTGACGCGCCTTTTCGAACTCGGCCAACTCTGCGTAGCCAGC